CATGTTTTATTGCATTGTTATTGTTTTAGCAGGTCGTTTAGTCTGGACAAGAGTTCTCAATACCGCTACACAAAATTTTAGGTATGATCGCTGCTCCGCCTTGACGTCAAAATCCGTTTTGTCGTCGTTATCAGATTGCTATACCGCGCGTAAATTTTTTAATGATCTCCGTATTTTTGATCGAAATTCTAACAAACTTATAGTGGCATATTTCTTCCCCTTGTGTGCAAGTTATTTTTCTATCAAATATGTTGACATGCAAGATAGTTATGTCAACATGCAACATAACTATGTTGACATGCAAGAAAATTGTAATCAAATAAAAATTATAAAAAATCTTCAAAAATCTCAAATATTGCCCACATGTGACATCCAACATGCTAGATGCTACTTATTTATGTCAACATGCATTTTATTTATGTTAACATGCGAGATAAATATGTTGATATGCAACTTATTTATGTCTACATGCAACTTATTTATGTCGACATGCATCTTGGTTATGTTGACATGCGAGATAAATATGTTGACATGCAACATATTTATGTCGACATGCAATTTATTTATGTTTACATGCATTTTTCAGATACAGTTCTGCTATGACCTTAAAACATAGTTCAAGGTCACTGCACACCCTTTAAAAGAGACCTCAGACGAACAGATGGACGGACGGACACACTAATTACTGTAGGTAGCCCGCAGAGAAGGGCCCTAAAAACGTTTTATAATCTACGGTCACGTTCTGAATCGCCAGGACATTTTATCTAAGGAAATCCAATTTATGCTTTGTTGTCCACCTCATATTATAGAAAATAATTTAAACTGCAACATTTGCTTAAATAAATTTTCGATCATTAAAATCAACTTCAATTTTACCGACAGAAAAATAAAACAGAACCGTGCCTCATTGCACGTGTCTTGGGTAGTAACGAATCTGCACGCTCGCACAAATGTTCAAATTGTGTATCACATAACTTCTTTTGCATTCAAATTTAATCATTTAATTCAAAATCTTATCATTTTGAAAAATTGATCATATTCTAAAAAGTATATATCCAAAATGAAATCACAAATCGATCATATTCACTGTAAACTTTTTTGGGATTCATGAGTCTTAAGACATTTACATCGATTTGTGATTTCATTTTTGGATATTTACTTTTTTAAAATTGACATAAACAAATTGCATGTTGACATAACTAAGTTGCATGTTGACATAAATAAGTAGCATGTTAACATACGTAAGTTGCATGTTGACATAAATAACTTGCATGCCAACATTTTTATTTCGCATGTCAACATAAATAACTTGCATGTCGACATAAATAAGTAGCATCTAGCATATTGGAAGTCACATGTGGGCAATTTTTGAGATATCTTAAAGATTTTTTATAATTCTTATTTGATTGCAATTTTCTTGCATGTCAACATAGTTATGTTGCATGTTGGCATAACTATCTTGCATGTCAACATATTTATCTTGCATGTCGACATATTTGACAGAAAAATAACTTGCACACAAGGGGCAGAAATATGCCACCATACAAACTTGCATAAAATGAAGCCAAAGTTCAATTGAAAAATTATGTACATAATTTGAATTATTTTCGTTCTTACTATGGGTCCACTGGGAGTTTTAACGTTGGTGTTACATATTTTCAATATCCGATTTCGTGTTTGCGCCGGGTACCCCTACCATTGACACATTAATATATCATTGAAAAGATGAAATAAAATATTTTTAAAACATTTCTTGTTTTTATTACTTCTTAGAGTTTGTCAAACGTATATGCAAATTTTCACCGAAAAACGTTCATTAAAAAGAAGAATATACACAATGTCTCAATAATTTCCGAACAGCCCTCGTACAATTTCCTGTACTCATGATAAAGTGAGCATTTTAATATAAAATGGTACTCATCTTCAACCTCCATTTGACAACAAAAACATAATCTATTCTCCCTAGGAATATTAGTAAACCTTCCCTTCTCAATCATTAATAAATGTGCACTTAGTCTGTATTTTGTAATCAATTGAATATACTTGGCTGGAATAGGTTTCATTAAGTAGGATTGCATGCACAGCTTATTTGTTAAATATCTATACACAGAACACTTTGATGACGAAGAAAAAAAAGCCTCACATTTTTGTTGGAAACAGTCAGTTAATCTTTGTTTAAAAATTTTTAGAAATATATATTTGTTTGTAATATTTTGACAATACCAAACTTCTCCAAACCCTAATGAAAATAATAAATATTTTACATTAAGTAACCACTTATATTTTGTACAAGAACTTGTCTCAATTCTTTCAAGCATATCTTGGTAAATACTTTTCAATATACAATTTTCTGACTCCAATAATTTTAACCAAAACTTTATAATACGAATTTTCCTTTGAATAAAAAGAGGTAAACGACCAAGTTCATTATAGATCATCAATGACGAGGTATTTTCTTCTCACTTTCAACATAATTTTGAGATATTCTAAATGTATTTTCTCTATAGCATCACCTTTGTGGAATCCCCATATTTCACTTGCATAATTCAATATACTACTTACTTAAGTATCAAACAAAGATAAACAAGTAACAGAGTTAAAATGCACATTTTTCATAGACTTCAAAAGTTTGAACATACATTTCCTCCCTTGAGTAGCCAATTTTACCTGAGATTTATGAAAATTACCTGTGTATGTCAGAGCGAGACCAAGATAAGTAAACTCATTGACAGCTTCAACTTCCTCATCATTATAATACCATTTAAAACTTTGATTCAATCGACCAGATTTACTAAATACTACTATTTTAGTTTTACTTACATTTACAGATAATTTCCAATCATTACAATTTGAGTAAAGCACATCAAGCATTTTTTGTAATCCTTCAGAAGAATCGGAAAATAATACCATGTCATCTGCATATAACATTAAAAACAATGACACTTCTTGGAGATTAATATCTTGACAATTAGACATGATAAAAGCATTCTCAAAATCATTTAAATATAAAGAAAAAAGTAGAGGAGACAGTACTTCTCCCTGAAGGACTCCTTGTTCTACTTTTAAAAAGTCACTAAAATTGTTTTTATATTTCACACAACTCCTAACATTCTTATACAGAGACCATATACTTTTAAACATTTTCCCCTTGATCCCTAATGTTATGAGCTTTTTGAAAAGATAATTTCTATTAATACTATCGAATGCCTTACGGAAGTCCACAAAACAACAGTAGAGTTTTTTCCCATTCGAAAGATGTTTATCAATTATACTTTGCAGTGCAAAAATTGCGTCTATAGTACCAACCCCTGGTCTGAATCCAAACTGTGCATCAGTTAAAATAGAGTTACTTTCGGACCATTTCATCAGTCTATTATTAAGTATAGTTGTAAATATTTTTAACATACAACTCATAAGGGAAATGCCCCTATAGTTATCTGTTACATCTGGGTCTGTCTTTTTAAGGATAGGTACTATTTCACCTTCACACCATGTGAGAGGAATATTACCAGTATCAAAAATAACATTAAATATTCTTGTTAAAAGTGGGCTTAGGTCTTCACACAAGTATTTAAAATTCTTGTGTTTTATCCGCATACTACATCACTTCCTGTGAACCAGAGATGTTGAAACAATAAGAACTTTCAATCCATGGCCTCAATGAACAGTTTCATTTATGTGTTAAATTAAGTGTGACAAACCCATAACAAACGTATAGGAGTTACGGCCAATTGGCATTTTTTTCTCTATGTGTGTTTTTACTTTCAAGGATGTAGGCCACATATAATATGGAAAGAAAGTTAATTCAAGAATACAGTTAAAAACCATCTCCAACGCTCTTCATGAAGTTAATTTTCCAAAAACGTTGTACTTTGCCTACCGTCAGGACCAATATGAGCTAACTCATGAAAAATCATTGGGACCAGGTGATTTATCTGAGACACAAAATTACATGTGGGAATTCCATTCAAATTTAGTTTGTAAGAAATTATGACGTTATTGACCTTTTTGAAGTAATTGACATACATATATTCTATGGAACATTGAAAAGGTTTTATAGCAACATTGGGGTATATGAGTACATTATCTAGATTCAAAGGAGATTGGCATTTAAATTGTAAATTAAGTCTTCTGGGATGTTTCATCTTACCATATCATTATCAATATTGCAATATAAAAGTTTCTTGTTTTATCCTTTTCCGATTGATTATATATTTTTTTAACAAAACGGATAATTTTCATCAATATTTGCTTTAAGTTTCTTTAACAAGAGGAGAAAAAAAAAAATGCCAGAAATTCAGCAGATGGAATATCTGTTGGTTTTGATATACAATTAATAAGGTTTCATTCATTATAAGCTGTGTTAGTTTTTAATTAAAATTGGGAGTTTTGAAAATCACTCTGCATAAGGTTTTTCAGACATCGATTAATTTGGCTGCTTTTTAGCTAGGAAACTTACAGCATTGTCTAGATAGATTTTCGATACTGTACTGCTGTAACCCTAATTTACGGCCTTTCTCTTCTCCTCTGCTTATGTGATTCTCTGGCAGAATTTTATGGAAAAATCTCCTTACATGGAAGCTTTTTTTTTTCTCTAAATTCAGGGAAAAATAATTTTAGAGGATAGTTTTGTTTGCTAATGATGATCTTTGTTTGCTGTATACATTTGCATGTTCTGGCTGAATAAAAAAAATCCTAAACAAGTAGACAAGACCCCCCCCCCCCCCAAAAAAAAAAAAAAAAAAAAAATTGTGTTTATGTATAGGGTCTCTTTACCTTATTCAAATAACAACCCTTTTCAGAAACAAAGGTAATTTAACCTTAATTAACATGTATAGTAAAACTGAAAAGGGAGAAAATAAGTAGTGAACGTTTTTTATTTCTTCGAGTCAGGTTCAACAATACTACACTTTGATAACATACATACATGTACTTATTTATACATACATTTTAAATAAGAAATAATTAGATATATATTTATTGCAATGCGTATTTCCGGTACAAACAAGTCACTTATTGCTCGGTTTGGTTCTGGCAAAACAATCATAGGCTGTATGGTCAATGACGTCCGTGTTCTGCATGGCGTGCTCTACCCACGATTTGTCCTCGTCAGTTATTGCACTCTTATTAGTCCAGCGGTATGGATTTACGCCATACATCAATGGGGATCTGTGTGATCTCACATCCCTTACTTGAGAGGAGGGTCCGTACTTATCCTTTGGAATGTCTAGACTTATATCGGAACTAGGACGAGTCACTTTATTCACTTCCAGTTTGGTGTCCTTACCTTTGCACTCTTGGTTTCCCTGAGTCAGTTCACTAATTTTAAACGATTCCCTTCTAAACGTTTTTTCCCGAGTAATTTCACCCATTTTGTTCGATTCCCTTTTAGACGGGGTTTCCTGAGTCAATTCATCACCATTTTTATCCGATTCCCTTTTAGTTTTTTGGTTCTCCTGAGAAAAGTCTGTAACATTATTATCCGATTCTACGGTAGAATTTGTGGCTTTCGAGGAGCCATGTTGTTCAGAGAGGGGCTTTTTCACTGAATCACTTCCTTTTGACTTTAGCCTTCTGTCTTCTAATTTTCTACTCTCATCTGATTTTCGAACTTGATTCTCTTTGTTACCTCTGTCCAGTTTATTCAGGGTTCTTGGCGTCTCGAATTTCACTCTAGAGGTCTCCACCATAGTGTCTAAATGATTCATTGAACCGTACACAGCCACATCATGGCTCATCGTATCCGGTCTGGGTCCCCCCTCAATTGAGGACATTGATCTCCCAAGTTCTGAGTACCGTTTTTCCTGGTAACGACCAAAGAACCCGCCCCCATAATGAACTACGTTTCGGGTTAATTTCATGTACCCCAACTTAGTTAAAGCAGAACTGAGATCCGGAAGCTTGTCAATGGAGTTAACTATCGACCTTTTGGTTTTACCACACTCTATAGGACCTGGAAATCTTTGAATATTTTCCATAGTCTCTTGTTCTTTGCCACGGAGTTGGGAGTATATACTGTTGCCTATCGTAAGAGCAGAGGAATAGGTATATTTTGCATTGTTATCTTTATTAGATTCCTTGGAATCTTTCTTTACACTGTCGCTGTGTCCACCACTTGAGTTTCTTGACTCCATTTTCAATCTGGCCCTGATTTTGTGGACCTTTTTTCCCTCCCGTGGGGATTTCTCTTCCTCATTATCGGAGTCGGATTTTCTTTCCGTATCTATTCCGTCGAGTTTGTCTGTGCTTTTACTCAGCACTGGATTAAGTCCTTTTAGACGCACCATGGCTCCGCGGTTCCTTCTGTGGAATTGCCATAACCGCTCGCGTTTCTTCAGCTCTTGGTCCTTTGGGTTGTCAATAACAAATTTCCGGACTCCTATGTTTGTCATGGAACGTGAGAGTTCCCTGTGAAGGACATTGGGCATCTCAGGTAATCGTGGCGTCGTCATGGAATCCATTGTGTGCTCTAGGTCTTCGTCATCCTCGTTTTCTAGGGCTAGTTTGGTTATACTACGACCCCTCAGTCCCTCTGTAAAGATAAAATCCATATTACCTGAGTGATGCTGTATTTCAGACTTCATAGGAACATAAATATGAGCACTAAATGACTCGTGGGTGTGATTTAAGGTCTGCAGTTTTTAAATTGTTAATCCTTTAATTTTGAATTAATATTTTGCATATACGTAAATGCTAATCTGATCACAAGGTAAACAACCCAACAATTATTCCTCTAACAACCTTGAAGATATCTGAGGATCGTCAGCATCAGCCCCATTATAACTGATCACCCTCAGTAGCGCGATTTATAGTGTCTTTCAGGATATTGATTTAATAAAGAAGAATTTATATAAGGTTTTATCTGGTTAATATTAAAAGATTTTTAAAGTAACTCTCTGGACTCCAAGGTTTATTCCTGTAAGTAAAAGATCTACTTCAAAGTTCGGGGCAATTTATCAATATTAAATTTCAGAAAACTAAATATAAAATCCGTGGTCCATATTGCACGTTTATATGAAGGATTTTGTGACATTCTTATGAAACTAACAAACACTAGAACTTCAATTTTAATTTCTATACACTTAAAAATTCAAAATTAAAAGTTAACCCTTCAAGCCAACACTCACCAAACAGCTGTACAGTTCTAGTATAAGAGAAGTTCAGCTGACAATACTATAAGTATAATCTATTACAAAGACATTTCAAGAAGGTGATAGTAAAAAGTGGAACTAAAGTAGTGTCCATTACACAAAATCATTAAAGTGTTATACAGATGTTTAAATACCATTTCATTAAACACTTTGTAAGAGCCACAAGTAATTTATTTTTTTTAATCGGTCCGAATACACATTTAAAATTTTAATTAGAACAAAGTCCGTGACGTAGATAGCTATCTGTCTATATAGTCCTCCTAAACTTCAGTATATCTCTTAAATTATTTTCAGTTCCAAGGTATTAACAATGTTGCAAAGATGAACAGAAACTTGAAAGGGCTTATAGTGAACAGAAGTTTGAAATTTAAAGACAGTACCGGTATAAGGTGAATAGTTTATAAAAACAAAAAACTAATTGGCCATGATGCTGTGTCACCATGCCTAAAAAATACTAATCATCTCTTCGTAATTTATCTTTAAATTAATATGAAAATTATACTATGTCAAGAACATTTCCCCATAATTGTACATGTATGTATTTCTCTACAATAATTCGAACAAACATGCTGTATTTAGGTATTTTGTTTTTGTTTTTTTTTTAATTTCATGCCTTCAATCTGCTGACTTGCATATATTTATCAATAGTGTTAAAAATATTTAATTATGTGCATATTTTATAATTAAAATCTATCAAGATTTTAAATCCGACACATTCGGTGCGAGTAGACAAATCTAATTGTTCCCAGTAAATGCCAGTATTTACAGACATTTGATAATATCTCAGAACTCTACTCCGGTGTGACTAAGTTAACCTCCGTCTTGATATCAACTATTTGTGAGATCCCGCATCAATATGAGTCGATAGATCGACACTTCATCGTACCAGCACGTGTCCTTGTCAAAATGTGTGTGAGCGCCTGTCATTAAGTGATCTGTTGCGAATACTTGAGGACTAAAATATACGAATAGAAAATATTAGATACCTCGATCTCAAAAATCAAGTCCCTCCTGGTCTTTGAAGTGAAAAAAGGTGAAGATATAACGAACAGTGATCTCAAAAAATCTATAAATAATATTAATCTGTGAACAGGACATAAAACACGGACCCCGGGAATTCCAGAGGTGGGATCAGGTGCCTAGGAAGAGTAAGCATCCCCTGTCGATCGGTCACAACCCCGTAAGCCCTACATATTGATCAGGTGGACGGAATATTCTGTAGTCAAATTTAGTATGAAAACAGATTAGTATGAATCACTTCAGCCAACATACAACCCAATGATAAGTTGTATTTGCAAATAAAGTCATTGTAACGACCATAAAATTTACCAAATGATGACTCTAAACGAGTTTGTAGAAATCCCTGTAACATCAACTTATCGGTCAGTAGCCTGCCTCGGTTTAAAAACTGATCGTACTAAGGGCATTCTCTTGAGTATCGAATAAGTTGGGACACGTACAGGTGATTGTGGAATATTACTACGGATAGTCGACTCTATGAACATATCATGCATTCGAGGTAATTAATCTCGAATAGAAAGCATTTTATCTCAAATGTCCTAGATATTCTTGTCTTCTTGTAATGCTGAAAAATATTCACGTGTCAATTTTTATCATCTCCTCTGTGAAACTAGAAATCAGTCATGAAATAGAATCCGTCATATACAATTTTTCAAAATAACAAATCTTAATCTATGAAGTCCTATTCCAAGCCTACACTATCCACAAACCTTCCACAAAACCATAAAAACAACCGTCGCACTAAATATGGATACTTTATTTTCACCGCAACTACAATGTAGATGATTGAAGATCATGTCATTTATAATAAAATCAGACGAGATTCTCTATAATAATGTTAACTGCTGTTGTTTTTACATGTATGTCTTAGTTAATTGTAGACTCCATTTTGTGAACCTAAGAATAATGCTAAGGAAAATATTCCAGTATGATTGATTTCTGTTTGTTTTCGAAACATTTTGTATGAAGAGTAATTAGCTTTATTTCTTTTGGTATTTAACCCTGTTTTACACAGGTGTATGAATAGTAATAATTATATTCAACAAAAATTATAAAACGCTCCTTGTGTTTAAAAAATTATTTACGAGACAAAAGATTGTGTAAATTAAAACCATTTAAAAGGAGCCCCGTAGTGCGCTATCCAGGGGTTAATAAATCTTGTTACCCCCCTGAAACCCCGACAACAGATGACACACAGACAATTGTTTTTACACAATCACCGGGTATCAACAGTTGATAACCATCCAAAAACACTGAACAATAAAATAATCAATTTACAATTGTCAAAATTATCTAGCATGTCTACCAATTACCTCAAAACACTGATCGACAGTGATTTTTCGAGACTTTCAAGTTTGTATACTATTTTATCTTATGCTAGGTAGTATATTTCAATTATTACTTTCTCTTGGCTTTTTTTAATAATTAAAATACATTCAACTCATTTAAAAGAGAACTAATAACTTTAAGTTCAATTGATTTAATTTGTACTTGCGTTTAACATAAATAAGAAACCAATAAACAAAATACAAAAAAGAGTACCTGTTTGTCGCAGGTATCGATATTCCAAACTCCAATGCTGGAATTATGACTTTGCAACAACAATGGTATACCTCTATTTATTAGACTGATACGTCCAAAAACAAAAAAAATAAATAAAATAACCTACCAACTCTTCTCAATTGAGACACATTTTCTTTCAGTGACAGCACAACAATGAAAAGTTTCGAAGTGTGCTGTGCATATTTAAATCTTCTATAGCTATCTATTCTGTCTTTGTCAATTACCAAGTACACGTTATCTGTCTGAGAGAGAGAGAGAGAGAGAGAGAGAGAGAGAGAGAGAGAGAGAGAGAGTTTTTGAAAACTTAAAAAAATATATCTACAAAATATGTTCAGATGTTTAAACCTGAGGAACAATCATTGTCAGGGAATTTCAATATTTGGATTAAAGTTAAAGGCGCATTGTGTGTGGGCATTGTGCATAATTACTATCTTCAAGCTTACCCCCATGTAATGGATCTGTCATTACAGAGATCGATATTTCGTTTGTTTACGATAAATCTAAAGTTTGTTGTATCAATAAAATAGCCAGAATGAATGTCAAATACACATGAAAATCATTACATTGTACGAAGCCAGTAGAAACACACAAGTTAATTGTCTACTGTTCAAAGACTGAAAAATATTTACTCAGTTAAAATATATACATATGTATTTATTTTATTTATATTTCGTAGTTGTATTTGAGTAAATATTTTAAAAATGGCTTTTTAAAGCTTTACGTGTTATATCAACTTCTTATTTTGATTTAGACTTATATTTATTTAAATTTTTGCAAGTTCCTTGTAAATAAATAAAGTTTAGTTTGAGTGATGTATACAAGTATATTCTGTGTAAGTAGTAAATAGTCAATTTTAACGGCGTGATATGTCTTTTTCAGAATGGAAATTATGAATTACGCAGTGTGTATATCATAAGTGAACAAAGATTGATAAAAAATATGGTATCTATGAAAATTGATTTTTTTTCTCTATTCATTGGCAAAACAGAGGTCGATTACAATCAGCCTGATAGGTTTGAAGATCAAAAGCTGAGTTTATGTCCTCCTCGTATCTTGAATAGATTTTTCGTAACCGTGGAGAATTAAAAGAATAATACGGAAAGATAGTTGAGATCGATATTTTACCTTCGGAAAAAAACCCCAAAACCTCAAAAAAATTGAGGCTGACATTTTTCATGTAAAATGTCATCTTTGTTCAAGTTGATAAAAACCTTTACACAGCATGTCAAAGAGAACTCAGTGTGTTTAATTCGTATTTCATTATCCACAGGTGCAGGGGGATTAAAGTCTACATTTCTGGATTTGAGCTCTATTCTTTTTAGCCTCTTTTCATAATTACTTTTTACAACTATAGATATATATAGATATAGAGATATATATATATATATATATATATATATATATATATATATATATATATATATATATAGATACAGATATAGATATATATATATATATATACAATGTGTGTTTTATCAGATCGATTGCACAAGTTTATGTTTGCAGTATATTGATATAGTTGTAGCTTTTTTTTTTATCCTCATCTTTATTCTCCGTGACAAGGGGGACAATTTAGTAAATAAATATACTGTTAAATTTTATCTGCATTTTCTTAACATTTGTGTGGCTTGTCGCTAAATTAAAAAAAAATCTTTACTGGCAACTGGTTTGATAATTCCTTTGGTCTTATAGATTCCCCTGTTGCATTAACATCAAAATTTGAAGAAAAAAAAATTATGCGGCACTTAACCAGAAAATAATATCTAATCCGTGATTGTAAAAATGCTTATATCTTATCCAGAACAATATAAAATCCG